GGTCATTCAAAATTTTTTCTCTATAAATAGAGAGTTCATTTGCACATCAAAAGGGGATGGAAGACAACTAGAGAGAACACTGGCAGATTTTGGGTGGCGTGGAAAGAATCTTAAAAAATCATCAAAGTCTCAAAACTCTTAAAATCTTAAGATTCTCAAACACTAAACACTAACCCGGAATCTAAAGAAACACAACACTTATTTCTTTTTCTCTTTCGAATCTGAAACAATCCCCACACTTTGTTTTTCTTTCGAATTCAGTAGAAAGAATACTACACCTTTTCTTCTCCTTCGAATCCATAAATAACAAACACCATCCTTACACCTCTTGACCTTTGAATCCAGTCAAAGGAACACCACACATGTTTCTTTCCTTCGAATCCAGGAGCATCTAGTTCAACCACTTGAAGGTCCAGCACACGCTCTAGCCTCCAGCAAGGTAAGTTGTTCTAAACCTTGAACTCTTCGCTTCTTGCATAACATGTAAATATAATTCCTTTTCGTTTCAAACATGTACATACTATTATTCTTCTTTTTGTTTCCATCCTTTTAATATGTTTCATGGTTAACAACCTTCTTGGTTTTTTCTCTTTGTACATTTAAACATGCTTTAAGAACTAATCTGTCCCTAAGGTAATGTTGGCATGGCCTTAGGCCATGTTGATATTCAAACTCAAACGAAAGAAACAGGAGGCAGGAAGTTGGAAATGAAGCCCCTAGCTTCCACACTAACCTTCAGGTCAAACAAAAGAGGCAGCCAAAAGGCACATCACACTGATTCCAGGCCCATTCGAAAGTCTCAACATGCCAGCCTCCAGACCCCCAATCGAAAGTCATGCCTTCACCCTTTTCAGGCCAGATCGAAGAGAGCCAGAAAGTGCAGAATCGAAAGGTTTTTCTGCCTAAATCGAAAAAACCCTTTTTATTGCTTTTATCTTATTTTTGCCTTTATATTTTCATGCAACTAAATATGGTTGTAATAGTGTAGAATTTTATCTTTCTGTATTTTTTTACTATATACAAAATGCTAGTAATTAGGGTGTATGGCAAGATAAAATCAACAAGTAGACCACCCTGTCAAAAGATAAAAATGCATGCAATCAAACACACTTTGCACACATTCACCTCTAGGGTTAACTCCACTTGTTTCCTTGGGAAAATGGTCATGTTATGCATGTGAGACGTCTTAGCAAAAACAATCAAAATACAAGATCATAGTCCCTCGATGACGCTTCGAATGTTTCCTTACAAATGATCTTAGTCCCTCAAGAGAAATTCTAATATGTCTCACAACATTGCTATCATGACTATACGATGACCCAAACCCGTCCCTTTTACATCCAAAGATAAAGGCTTCTTACCAATCAATGGTAAGATAGCAATATCAAAGGAAGAGAGGAATGAACAAAATACTTTTGAGTAAGGTAGAATGTTCCTAGTTGTTTGCTCATCTTCAAACACAAACACCTTTTCAAATGCACCAACACTTTCCATAAAATATTTTCAAAAGTCCAACACTTTGTATACATTCTTATAGAGACGAGAATCATTACAAAGTTTGCCTAAACGAGGACGCTTTTCAAAAAATACTTTCAAAACCCACCACAAAGCATACTTTCAAACAAAAGCAATGATCTAGCAAGCAACTAAGAGCCCATAGATAATTATGGATGAAAAGGGTGCTAACACCTTCCCTTTTCATAACCTACCCCCCGAACTCAAGAAAATAATATCAAAGGTCTTTCCTGTTCTTTTCACCCTTTCCTTTATTTGGATAAAAGAATAGTCGGTGGCGACTTTTGCTATCCGCAAAAATTGCGATAAAACGCAAAAACACCCAAGTCAGTTCTCCCACCGTGTTACATCCCACATCTCTTAGTTTAGTGGTGAAAGAGAGAATCAAAGGCTATATATAGGTTTCAAGTTTTTATTTACAAGATGTACAAGTCAAAAACACTTTAAGTTCATATTTAACCTTTTATATTTTCTCTGATACTCTTGTTTTAGAGTGTTGTGATGAATAGTTACATATTTGCTTTAGAGAGTACGTGTGTATTGGGGCCTTGGGGTGGTTGAGGGTAGTCTATGTGTTGTAACAATTTTTACATAGTTTTATTCTCTGGTTGTCATTTGACAACAATTGTAGTTTTTTCCCCAGTTTTGGAGTTTCGACGTTAATCTCTTGTGTTATTATTTTGTTCCTCTTTTTTCTCTATGTTTTGTTTTTCCCAACAAGTGGTATCAAAAGTCTTGATTTGGTGGAGTATAATTTTTATTATGCTCTGTGGTTGCAGTTTTTCCTGATCTTCCATATTAGAAAAGACATTCTATACTCTGTGTTGGTTGGGAAAATTTTAATTTTCCGCAGGAAAGGTTTTGGTTGCAATGTTAAGTTTTTTAAGTGATGTGAAGATTGACTTAGATAAATTTGATTGAAGAATCAATTTTGACTTGTGGAAAATTCAAGTCAAAGATGTTTTGATACAATTAGGATTACATAATACGTTGAAAGAAAACATTTCCAACATGGATAACGAGAAGTGAGAGGAACTAGATTTGAGAGCTTCAAGTACAATCTGCATGTCTTTGGCTAAGAATATTCTTGATACGTTGTTAGCCAAAGAGCTTTGAGATAAACTTGAAGGGCTATATCAAGTAAAAGATATATCAAACCATTTATTATTGAAGGAGCAGTTTCATAGCTTGCGTACGGATGAACATACAAAAATATTTAAGCATATAAGTGTTATAAATGATATTTTTTATGAATTAGAAACTATTGGAGTCGAGATTGATGAAGAAGATAAAGCTCTGAGACTCATATGGTCTCTTCCATCTTCCTATGAGTATATTAAACCTGTTTAGATATATGGAAAGGAAACTTTAAATTTTGAAGAAGTTGCTAGTAACATTATTTCTGAAGAAAAAAATTGAAAGGTGAGAATAATACTTCATCAAACTCAGTGTTGTTTGCAAGAGGAAGATCTCATGTGAAGAAAAACAATGAAAAAGGTGTGAGATGTTGGAAATATAGAAAGATTGGACATATAAAGTATAAGTTTCTTGATGGGGATGCATCCGAGAAGGAATCTGAGTCAAATGCTAGCAATGTCACTCTCGTTGTCAGAGAGGATGATATTGTCTGAAAATTGAGAAGTGTGTCCTTGTGACATTTTGCTGTCATGAAAAAGGACGAGTTATTGCTAGCAGCTTAACACATGGGAATTTATACAAAGTGTGTTGTGAGATTATGTCGATGGTTAAAGAACTTTCTGCCTACATGGAAGTTGCACCCTAAAGTTTCAATATGGTTTTCAAAATGCGAAAATTCTTGAAGTGGTTTAACTTCAAGTGAAGTATACTCTTCTTTAGGGGAAAGTATGATAGTTTTTAAAACTACAATTTTCAGTGAAGAGAATGCGAAAATTCTTAGAGTGGTGTAGTTTCAAGTGACTATACTCTTTATGGTGGAGTATGATTGTTGGTGAAGACGATGAAAGCTTATGTATTATTTTCAATCAAGGTGGAGATTATTGGGGTTGGTTGAAAATATACATGTTTAAGAAGTCTCACATTGGTTAATTTTGTGAAGGAAGACGAAGTCTAAGGCTATATATAGGATTAAAGTTCTTCTAATTCCCACATCACTTAGTTTAATGGTGAAAGAGAGAATTCAATGTTATATATAGGTTTCAAGTGTTTCTTTACAAGATGTACCAGTCAAAAGCACTTTAAGCTTGTATTTGAATTTTTATATTTTCTCTTATACTCTTGTTTTAGAGTGTTGTGAGGGGTAATTAAATATTTTTGTTGGAGAGTGCGATGTATTGGGACCTTGAGGTGCTTGAGGATAGTTTATGTGTTGCAACAATTTTCACATTGTGTTATTCTCTAGTTGTCATTTGACAACGATTGTAGTTTTTTCTTCAGTTTTAGAGTTTTCACGTTAATCTCTTGTGTTGTTATTTTGTTCATCTTTTTTCTCTATGTTTTCTTTTTTCGCAACACATATATCTTAATTTATTTCATTATTTCATTAACTTAATTCTACCATAGATTCTAACATTTCAAAAAAATGAAATGTATATATTATTGAGAATCAAGTGTGAGAAAGAAGTCTCACATTGATTAGAAAGTGTATAAGTGAGAAAACTCATACACCTATCACCTTAAGGTTTTGGGTGAATAAGTGGTGTGTATCTCACTTGTGTATTGCTCTTGGTCCAATGGTAAATGCTCTGTCATGTTGACCTCCCAAATTTTCTTCAACAGTGGTATTATGAGCCTTTGGTTTCAAGTGAAGGGATCAACTTACTTGTATCGAAAATACTCCTCACAAATGATGGATAAGATGTGTCCCGTTAAAGAGTGTTAACGGCAGTACATGTGAAAGAAAGAACTTTCACTTGAGGGAAAACATTAGACTCACACTTGAGAGAGAGTGTTGAGAATCAAATGTGAAGAAAAAGTCTCACATTGATTAAAAAATGGTATAAGTAAGAAAACCTATATACCTATCACATTAAGATTTTAGATAAATAAATGACGTATCTCTTACAAAAAAAAAATATGTTACTCAAAGAAAAAAATCCCACAAAATAAAATACTTCTCACTATACCCCAATTGTTGCGCCAAACATATATCATATTTACCTAACAAGAGAAAAAAAACAAGAAGATGGAATAATAGACAACAAGGCAAAAGAGGAAAAAGAAGTGATATGAATGAGGAAAAATAGTGGGACCAAACACAACACAGAACAGCCCTATGTTTATAATTATGTGGGTGAATCCAACTGCACACTAAGATCTTATAGGCCAGAACTTGTGGCTCACAAAATTTCCCCTTTTCTTATTTGGCATTTGTACCTTTTTCCCTTTATAAAACCTCTTCACAGAAACTCACAAATAAGCAAAACAAAGAGACAAAAACAACAAACACTCCACAACACCACCAACAACAACAATTTCTTCTACATATTACCATTGATATATCTGAGATGATTAATGATTCAACCATACAACTCTTTGGGACAACAATTTTCTTCACACACAATATAAATGTCTCTACCATTGATTCTTCCTCAGAATTTGAACCTTCTCTTCCTCATGAAGATTTCTCTAATCATAGTCTTCATTCATCTTTATCTTTATCTTCATCTTCTCCACTTGAAGTAAATTCTTCAATGGAACATGTTGCAAAGAGATATAAGGTATGTGTCATGCCATGATTATTGTTCTACATGAAAAATACTGTTTATTTAAAATTATATATTTAACTAGTATGTTTTGCAATTTTAACAAAAACCCTTTTCTCAGAAGCTGCCAATTGTTAATGGGTTGATTCCAAAATTTCATCTTTTTTTGTTTAGATTCATAAATTGCTTTCTCATTTGTAGATTTATTTAAGATTCTAGTTGTGATACAAATCAATCATACATATAACCAAGGTTTTAAAAGTTAGTCGCATCTATAAAGGCTTTCGTGATTTCAGTGGTTACAAGTACGATAATAATGGTTGTTGTTGTCGCGGTGTAAATTAATCATAATTTGTTCTTTATCTTAAAAACGGTGAACTGAAGGTGCCGATACGGTTTTATCGCGGCCGACTAGCCTTGCATATAACTTTTGAAATGATTATATGATTAAAATAATTGGATCAAAGTTCATTCACTAGAGAATTTTTTTATGAATAACCCAAGTCAGTGATTTTGCTTTATGATACAAGTTTCCTAGTTTATCCTTAACCAATATAAGTTGTGGCTTATATTTGAGTCATATCTAACTGATATATATCAATTTCAGGAAACATCAAGAAAAGAAGTCACCTCAGTGCAAGTTTTAGAGGATGAGGCTTCATTTCACCCCACAAAGGATTTAAAGTCTCCCACATCCTCAAGTCTTATTGAGAACCCCAAGACTCCCTCATCAGAAACAGAAACTTCTCAACTGAATTCCACTAAAATTGATGAACAAAGTGATATATCACAAGACAAAGGTGCAAACAAACCAGACAAAATTGTTCCATGTCCAAGATGCAAAAGCATGGACACCAAGTTTTGCTACTACAACAACTACAACATCAAACAACCGCGGCACTTTTGCAAGAACTGTCAAAGATATTGGACTTCTGGAGGAACCACTAGAAAGATGCTTGTAGGTGCAGGTCGCCGCAAGAACAAAATCTCTTCTATTTCTTCTGATGTATCGCATTATCGTCAAATGAGTACTGTCTTTACCTTTGGATCAGATTCTCCTATTATGCCTTCAACTCCACTTGACAAGAAAACGAATATTGATTCACATGAAGAAACAATTGATAAGAGTTATCAGAATTTTCCTCCACAGTTTCCATGGAACCCTGCAATGTGTTATCCTGTGTCATTTTATCCCAATATAGCACACTATGGTGGTTTCTTGCAACCATTATGGAATGTACAATCTATCCCAACACAATCTTGCGGCCCAAGTAAACCTTCATTAGGGAAACATTCAAGAGATGGAGATATGATCATTCATCCCAACTCAGAGAAAGAAAAACTTGGATTAGAAAGCAACAAGAAAGAAGGTAATAATACTAGTGTATTGATTCCTAAGACACTGATAATCGATGACCCGAATGAAATTGCAAAGAGTTCGGTTTGGTCAACAATAGGAATCAAGAATGGGAGAGGACTTTTCAAGGGATTTGCATCTAAGGGTGATGATAAGAACGATCATGTCGTCGAAGTATCCTCATCATCAGTATTGAAAGCTAACCCTGCAGCTTCATCAAGGTCCCTAATGTTCCATGAGAGGGTTTAATTGGCAATAAGTAGCACCGATACCTCAGATGGAAGGCGTGTCCTAAGCGTGACAGTGTCGTGTCAGTCAGAGTCTTTGTAAATGTTAAATCATAGTAGAAAATATTCATTAGATTCTGAAAATGTTTACGAAATACATAGGCCAGTACAATCACTTTCTGCTAAGGTGCTTTTGATTTTTGTTGGAAATAGATCACTTTGTTGAGTAAATACCTTGGTATGTACATATTATATATTATATATATGAAACAAGATAAATAACAAAGGAAATAAGATTCTTGAACTGAAATCCAATGGTTTTGAATAAATATCAGAAAGATGCTATTGTTATTATTACTTCTTGAGTTTACTATACAACTTATGGCACACCACATTGTTTTCACTTTATTCATTTAGAGGATAATGTTTCTTTGAAAAGGACTCCTAAGAGGAAATAAAAATATGACCGAATCATGACTTAAAGGATATGTATGAATTGATGTGTAGCATATAATAAAATGAAATGGAACAAAAGAATCTTACAAAGGGTAAGAACAAGAAAAAAGAGGAATTGAGAAAAAGGCCAAAGTTTAAAAAGGAGGTGACATGGATGAAAAGGGTAGCAGAGATGATAGCGGCACTATCTTTATAATTTCGTTGAGGAATCCAACTGCACACTATGATATCCCAGGCCACAAGAACTTGTGGCTCACAAAACTTTCCCCTTTCTGAAGTGGCATTCCAACTTTTCAACAAACCTCTTATCTTCTTTGAGAATGGCAATTTCATCCTAAATTCCATATTTAGATCCATCTATTCATTAATTAATCCAATCTATTTAAAAATATATTGGCTTAATAATCATTTATCCCTATCATATGGAACGAATTTAAAAAATAACTCTAAAAAAAAAAACACAAATTTTATCCATGTGATTTGAAGATTCCTTTATTTTAAATATAATTTCACATAAAAAATATATATTAGTATAATAAATTGAAATTAAATATATTTTAAATTTATTAATTAATTAGAAATTAACATATTTTAATAAATATTTTAATATATTATTAAAATGATCTCCTTTACAATTTTTAAATATAATATAGTAAATATAATAGTAAATTAATATATGGATAATGTATTGTTAATATTTACTATATATGAATAATATTGTGAATTATT